GATGTCCCACCAAATGCAAAGCATCACTTTCTGCGAATGGAGTCCAGGTTTTGGGGTCGGAAGTGGTTTTTAGCGTTTAATATTCGCATAGATAATCCATTTTTCATCACCGGTGACAATTCTGTCCAAATATGGTTCACGCACATTACGCACCAGAAGAGACGAAGCAACGTTAACACGTTTGATGATCATTGGAGAGTTTGTGAGTTCTTTATGGAGTTTCCCACATTTCTTAGATGTTTATGTATTGTTTCGTGAGAGACATGCAATTTCAGGGCCATTTCACGAGTGTGTTGCCTTGGGTTAGATTCAACAAGTGTCTTCAGAGCATCAATATCAATTACAACATGTCGACCCCCTGCCATCACAGTTTTTAAGGCTAAAGTCACCTGAATGACATTTGCTGAATCATCGTTAACACTTACGAACGTTCAAAACATTTCCATAATATTCTTTGGTATTCTTTGTGGCTATAGAGGCATTGTTTCCCTTCTTGTATTCAAACAGCATTACATGCCGAATGTGGATCTCGTCGTGTGCCATCACTAAAAGAGATTAGAGTATACTAAACTTTACACATTATATAGGCTACACTAACATGACGTTTAGGCGGTTCGTTTAATTATTATTCGTGAAGTACGTTTTTTTTTTGGGGGGGGGGGTTATGAAAGTGTTCCAAAACGCGACCTTAATTTCTTGACGACCTGATATTAAGACAGAACTTATTATATAGACGAAGCTGTCGTTTTTAACTTTTAGACATAGTTTTTGTTATTAGATTTTTCTCGATAGACAATAACAACATAGGAAAGAATTTATCCCTAATAATAATTTTTCCCGAAATTGTTTGTTTATTTGTAGTTAAGCACAAAGCTACACAAAGGGTTATCTGTGCTCTGACCACAATGGGTATCGAAACCCGGTTTCTAGTGGTATAAGTCCGCAGACATACCGTTATGCTTTTTAGACATAGTTTAGAAAAAAACGACCTTTATACTCTAGATGTATATAAAATATTTTTTTAAATATTTTAACCAATGTTTCGCCTTTGTGGCTTCATCAGAGGTAATAGACACAACTGTTTGATATTAGAATATTCGTTAAAACACTTGTGTATATTAACTCTGATGAAGCCGCAAAGGCGAAACGTTGGTTAGGATAAAAAAAATTCTTATATATATATATATATCTGGAGTATAAAGGTCGATATTTTCTAAACTTTTTATCAAAATGTGTAAATCCCTCTTGTAAGCACTACAAATTTTGAAAGACAACATAAAAAGATTTAGACTTAAAAACATCTGTGTAAAATTGAAAACGTTTACTAGTTAAAGCTAATTTGAATTGAAATAAGTTCTTTTTCAGTATCATCAACTATCGACATTAAGCTAAGAAAACTATATTGAGTTTTTTCTTTATGTTACAGGAATAATTGTTTTACATTTTTTCGGTATCGAACCCCGAATTTTAGTGTTATAAACCTTCAAGTTTTTCGCTGTTGAATACTACTTAACGAACCTACAAAAATAAGCAAACGTGATTTGTTTACGATTTTCGGCATCATTTTTTGACGCATTCGTTACTTTTTTTTTTATTCCAGATGTTCCAAATATTTCTGACCATATCTTATAATTTTTATACACTATGTTAGTGTTAAAGTAAGAAATGTTAAAATGTTTGTAATTTACAGAATATATTTACTATAAGAACCTCTTCAAAGTTTGTAGTAAGCTCTATCTTTAACTTCTAAATAGTAGTACGTTTTTGTTTATCTCTAGGTTTGTCCTATTACCATTCTTCTTTCTTAAT